GTAATTTTCCGATAACCAATACAGGCACGTAAAACTTTTGTTATAATTATTAATAAAACGCATATATTTTACAATTTAACTTTTATTATTAACCCGTTTTAAATTGAAAATACGTATCTAACTTTGTATTAGTAGATAACTTCAAAAGCTATCAACACAAAAGCTGAAATATGAAATGTTCCATTCGTAATTTTGATGAACATTCATATAAAACAGCAACATTCCTATTTCGAATTTCTTAATCAATTAAATGGGGAAAAGATATTCCAAATTACTATTGAATGTTGATTTTGTTTCTACTGAACATTCATAGACATTAAACGGTAAATATGCGTAATAGAAAATATTTAACATAAAGATAACAAACGAGCATTCGTCAATAAGTAGGTACATATTTCAGTTCGAATTCTCAGGTTAATAGCATGGTGGTACCATCAAAGAAGGGCCGGAACTCGTTTCATCAGGACGTGGACGAAGCACTTAACTCGCTCCTGTGGCAACCGTACGAGTACCAGGCGAAACAAATAAACGCCGGGGACAACATTAGTCCATCGTCATCCCTTAGCAGTTCTTTCTGCTCGTGTTGCAGCCTCTCGTCCGTCGACCTTGACGGCAATACCGACCTAAACAATAGAGCATCGTTGCAAGTAGTACAACAGTACCATCATCATCGGCAACAGCGCAACAGCAACAACAACATCGCGGACCTACATCTTGGCGCTGCCGCAGAGATGGTTAATAACCTGGCATCGTGCAGAAACCGGCTTAACCAATGGCAGGAACCGAACGTCGGGTCACGTGACGGACTACAACCGACCGTAGTCGCGGCAAGTAGGTTGTCTTCGGCCGCCACTGTCAGTTGTACGAGTGCGTTTTGTCCGCGTGGATTTGTAGCCGGTGCGTGCGGTACAGCGAGCATACCGTCGTCGGTCGCCTCGCGTTGTTATTGTGATGCACGTGTACTTCCCGTCGTCGTTATCGGTGATATGCGCGTCGAAGTGCCCCTTGACTCGTCGTCGCGCTCTCCAGACGTATCCGGCGTGGTCCAGGCCACCACCGCCGCTGCCGCGCCAGCTATCGTTGCTAACGGCAATAATGTGCCACCGGCATCGTCGTCGGTCGCCAGACCATCAACGTACCAAAATAATAGCAGCGGTAAGAATGCCAGTAATGGACAGACGGTAATCGATAATATGGTGTCCGCGAACGTGGTCGGATTACCATCGAACCATCATCCGCGTCAATCGTCCGTTCCCAACAATCATCATCGGAACGGTGCGTTCCCGTTCGCCCATCCCAGGAATCTATCCGAACCGAGTGTTGCAATCACTCATACACGTCAATCGTCTAATCCATCTTCCTCTTCTTCCATAATATCGCACCAAAGGAATCGTTCGACTCCTTCGATGGTCGCGACAGTAGAAGGTTCTATGTTCACAACGAATTATGGATCCAATGGTCCCTTTGTTGCCCATGCCAGCACTCCAAGCGCTGCTTTGCCATCCCATGGAAGACCCGTTTCCGGACACATTACCAACAACATGTCAATGCTGAACAGTTATGGGTCTCGATCAGTACCAAATAGTACTTCCTCGTTCGTTAATTGCGTAAATTCCATGACACCTCAAGAGAGGAACGCAAATATTGTCTCAATTCTCAACCATCAGCGTCACAGTTCGTTTACTGGGCTCGCAGGAACGGACAACGGTGGTAGTAGTAACACCAACGCCAACAGTAATGGTAGCGATCTGATGTCTAGCAGAAGCGCTTCCGTTCCTAAAACTCTTGTTGTCCAGAAACCAGGAGAAAGTAGCATCACCACCCTAAACGTCGGCGTCGGTCCCAACAATCATTCTACTCATGTTCCATCATCATCGTCATCCTCCACAAACATCAGTAACGTGGATGTCAACTTCTACAGGGCGGTACCATGTAACGTCGTGTCGAACCTTCCAACGATCCATTGCATCAATAGCAGTAGCATTTCCGATAGTGGAAACAATGTATCCAACGTCAATATTGTTCAAGCAATGCCTCAGAGCGTACACCAGACTGCCGCCTCGTCCTCGACAAGTGGTTCGACTTTCTTAAGCGCCAACTCGCCGAAGCACATCACCACGGTAGCGCAAATAAACGGAAACACTTCCGTAAATCGTACCTTTGGTTCTACTGTAACCACCCAGGTGACAGTGCACAACGAGTCCATTTCGACACAGAATTTACTCTCGCTGACGCCAACAACTTCTGGCCAAAACGCTTTAGACTCCCAAAGGGTACCTGCGATGGCTCAACAAGAGGCACAAAGAGTCCAGGTCGAGCCCAGGACTATAACAAGAACGTTTACTTCTACCGAAGCCCAAACTGACGATATATCTGTCGGAACGGCCCTGGTACCCGCCAGAGATAGGGCTGCCAGCCGGGAACAGAGGAGACGTGAAAGACGAGAACGAAGACATCACCGACGACTCAACAGTCACCATCAACACAACAATGAAAATAATCAACAAAATGTGATCAGTAATAATAACAATAATGGTAACGGTAATAACCATTACGTTTCGATGCAGACCAACGACCGTCTTCCGGACATTTTGAACAGTCACATGCCGCCACCATACTCTCCCGTTTTGACCAATTTGCCTACGACCCCCGTGGTACCAACAATTGTGCCCCCCAACGTGTTGACCAACAATGTAGTGCCTGTGCCTAGTGTAGTGGGTAATCATGCAGTGCCGTTTCCACCCCCCGTGGTCCCGGGACAAGTGCCCTTGGTTCAAGGAACCGGACCTGTTCCCGTTGCTGTGCCAGCGCCTTCTGGATTTCGATTCCCCTTCCCCACAACAGGATTTAGAAGGTAAGAGAACAATTTTACCAAATACGTCCCATTTATTACTTTCCAGCTTTCGTCGATAGCAGTTTTAGTACGTGCATAAATAATGCCATTTTGGTTACAATAATAATTCCATTGTTTCCTTATCGAAGAACCAACGTACGTATTGTAATTCATTACGAATTGTTGTAATTTCACCTTTCTATTCTTATCGTCACTGATAGGTTGTCGTTAAGGTACATGTATGTGTGTAAAATTATTTAACAATGGCACAATGGAATTTACACAAACCAATTAGCAGCAGATGTAATTGCAAGCGGTGAAATGGAATCCCTTAAAAACTTCGAAATCCTAAACTCAACGTTCTGAGTATAATAAATTGTACAAAAAGTTATTTTCTTTTGTACATTTGCCTATTTAGTACTAGGCTGCGATGCTGGTCATAATTTTCATCTTTCGGAACTAGTTCCGGTTTGTAAATTTGAAAATAAGTATGTGTAACGCTGAATTCGCCATAAAAAAAGGAAAGTGGAAGCTGTTTTATCCTAGTTCCAGTTCCAACCGTTAATCTTTAAAAAGATCGCAATGAGATTGCTACTGATTTTAGCAACCACATCGAATATTTTGAATTTCACTTTTCTGCTGTAATACTAATTAGATTAAAATAGAAAATTATGGATTACAGTAGTGTCTTAAAAATTAACACTAAATAGTCGAGTTGTTATGGTGGTATATCCATTTACCTACTAAGGACTAAAGAAGAGTGGTTACAGAAACGCCAATCGTAACATTACTACTTGCTCCATCAATTTGATGGTTGTCAATTATCATGAAAACTAATCATAAAGTCAATCTTAAGCACCTATTTACCACAGTTCTGCACATTTAATTTATTGTTAACTCGATCGTTATCAGCATTGATTTAATACCAAAGTTAAGCTTGATGAGAATTCGGAAATATGAACTGCTTCAGATAATTATTTTAGTAAAAAACAAAACGTAGTCGCGGTTGTCATAGAATATCGTGGTTCAAAAATCTCCATTATTGATACGAAATAAGCATTGAGGAGTTGTTTAGGATGGAAACAGATAAAGTAAAGATTATGGTAATGATCGTCTACGTTTTTGGAGAATAAAAGACACTTACTGAAGGAGTTAAGTCTGAAAAACCGCAGTCTATTGTAAATTTACTAGTAACTGTTGCTACAAGGTGTAACCCTCATAAGTTTATACCAAAGTCAAAAAGAAACATCCTTCCCCCTCGTATGAGTAAATTAACGCCCAAATGACACAAAAAGATTGATATAAGGTTTCCATCAGGCGATTCAAAAATTGGGCTTTTATGAGGTTGTATATCTTTTGGCTGTCGACATACACATGAACAAATAATTATTATGATTTAGAGAGTTGTGGAAATTCATAGCTGAGGTCATAATGAGCTCTAGATTATGCTATGGCTACCATACTCGCAGTAGCGCCCCTGGTTGCTACAATTCCATTGATCGAAGCATTGTATACTAGAGGATTTGATCCAATGTTTTCCAAATGATCCATCGCTACTTGGATACTAGACCGCAGGGTGCCACAACCCATTTGTGTGGTCTCGTGACGATATTACATGAGCAGTCCCGCAAATTACGAATGAAATTAATTAATAGTATCCTTGACGACGATATAGACGTCATCCGTTGAGCACAGATATTTGGCCCAACGATTTCCAAATGTACCATTAATACCAAACAGTCGAGTGATTATGGGAACAGATTTATTTACCTACTAATGACTAAAAAAGAGTAAATACATATCAGTATAGCAGTATAATATTAATTAATAGCATTTGTTTACTACGACAGACACCATCCGTTAGGCCCGGATACGGTATATTTGGCCCAACGTCTTCCAGTATTATGTGGTCATCTGTGCTCATGTGACGATATTACCTGAGCAGTTCGGCAAATGATAATTGAAATTTTAATAGTATCCTAGACTACGATAGACGTAATCCTCCTTGGGAACGCTTCCTTGCAGTCTAGTATGCTTACAAGGAACTGTAAATCGTGTCGTGGCCCAACTGTTTAGTAATGGCGCTATACTTGCTAACTATAAAAGTGAAATTAAACCCCCCAATTCAACTTAATATCCGGTAGTCGAATTGAAATAATTGGTGAAGCGGTACTTGTGTTTAATTCCATTTTTGTATGTTGGGGGCATTCTGTAATGAATCTTCTCAATAATTTTAACAGTACAAAAAACTTAACAGTTACTATCGGGTTGTTCGGAAGGTCATTTGGTTTTTTCCCGACAGAGGATTTAATTGTATTCTTTTGCACCCAACTTCACAATTAAGCCGTATAATTTTTATATACTTTGAGAGCTCATATAGCAAGGCTTGTGTGTGAAAAATTCCAATGAATTCTACGCAGTAGTTTTTGGTTGGTGCCCTTTTAAATATGGAGAGGCGATAAGCAGCATTTTCGACATCTTACTGTTTTACTACAGAAAGGGTAAAAATGCTGTTCAAGCCAGAAAGAAATTGACTGATGTGTATGGAGAAGGTGTGTTGACAGTACGCCAGTGCCAGAACTGGTTCGCTAAATTTCGATCCAGCAATTTTGATGTCGAAGATACACCACGTTCGGGAAGACCGGTTGAAGCTGATAAAGACGCGATAAAGGCATTAGTTGATGTGAACCGGCGAATAATAACACGTGAGATCGGATTGAGGTTAAATTTATCAAATTCAACAGTTTATGACCACTTGAAAGGCCTAGGATTATCCTCGAAGCTCGATGTATGGGTTCCCCATGTTCTCACAAAGAGAAATCTGTGTCGCCGCATTGACGACTGCGATTCGCTTTTCAAACGTCACGAAAATGAGCCGTTTTTGAAGCGTATCATCACTAGGGACGAAAAATGGGTTGTATACAACAACGTCAAACGCAAGAGGTCATGGAGCAAAAAAGATGAACCGGCCCAAACCATTTCCAAAGCCTATATTCACCAAAAAAAGGTGATGCCGTCTGTTTGGTGGGATTTTAAAGGAATCGTTTTTTTTTGAGCTTTTACCGGATAACACAACGATTAATTCGGAAGTCTACTGTCATCAGCTGGACAAACTGAATGATGCACTTCAACAGAAAAGGTCAGAACTAATCAACAGGAAAGGTGTAGTGTTTCACCAAGACAACGCGAGACCTCACACAAGTTTGGTCACTCGCCAAAAGCTTTTACAGCTTGAATATTCTCCAGACCTGGCACCATCGGATTATTATTTGTTCCGGTCACTCCAAAATTTTTTAGACGGTAAAACCTCCACCTCAAATGAGGAGGTCAAAAACCTCCTCGATCAGTTTTTTGCCAGCAAAGACCAAAAATTTTATGAGCGTGGAATTATGCTACTACCAGAAAGATGGCAAAAGGGTTTGGACCAGAACGGTCAATATATAATTTAATAAAGTATTTGTTTATTATACGAAAACTGTCTTTCATTTCCACAAAAAAAAAACGAAATGACTTTCCAAACAACCCTATATTTTATTAGTATTTCCCAGTACATTCAAATTTTTGATCAAAACATTGTACAATGTACGAAAGCATAACAGTAAGTAATCTAGGTTAAGAAGTACGGAAAGGAAGGAATAAAGCGCCCTGTAGCAGAAAGGTCGTAAGGTGCATTGTGCACATGTATATTGTAAAACGTTCCCGTATATAGGGTAAAGTTAATTGTACGAGTTCGTGCATTTTTATTACAGGTACAATATCTGTATGCATGGCTATGTACCCACTTATCCGCGGCCTTCTTGAGAATGCGTTTTTTTCGTTAGGAGTCCAATTTAGTTCTTGCTCTCCCACGCTTTCCATGGCCCATTCTTTATATGTACAACTTGGTAGGTACCTACGGATTGTGGTCGAGATTCTGATCATAAAAATACTTAAATGGAACAGACCAGTTGAAACACCGGAACAATAATGTACGACTTCATTCATGCTGTGCTATCTAAGTTATGTTATTATGTATTCTTTCGAAATAATTAGATAGATACCTAATTAAGAATTGATTCTTCCAAAATTCCAGACCATTTGTGAGTTGTATGCACATTATATAGTAATGACTGAATGATCTACACTCTCTAAACACCGCTAAAACTAATCTTACGTCACAAAAGTCACACGCCCCTGCATGAACGAATAGATTAAGAAAAATTAAAGCAAAAATTAATAAACCGGGATTATGGCGTTTCTTTAGTCCTCTTCCCTTGTCACGTACCCTCACGTTAAGCAATACCATTGCATATCTTATCTAATATACTTAGAGGGTAAACAAGGTAGATACAGATAGGTCAACGTATCTAGTCGGAAAAGTCACAAAAGTGTCACCTAAAGGAACTCCAACGAAAGTATAACAAAATTTATTTTTGCTCAAATTTCCCATTTCAAATCTGTTTTGCACTGTAATAATTGTACTACTTAAATTGCTAAGTGTATCATACTTAACCTCTGGGAAGGGGCGTAAGGTAACTGTCTCTATGATTGGTAAATTAGGCTGTTAATGATTTGCGGCTTATACCCAACTACCTATAATCCATCCGTAGTTCGAATTATTGATATCGTCATAACGCATTCCACAGACGGATTGTTTTGATAAGTTGAAGAAGGTCTAACAACTTCAGTTTGGATTATCCAGACGTTATTACCGGTGATTTGGTGTGTTTTATGATCGTGCTAAAAAGGGCTGTTTTAGAAATCGTGGGAATGGGTAGTGATTGGGAATTTATAGACGAGACGGGTAAGATTAAAAGACCGTGGACGAGTGAAAGTCTATCCGTAAAATACTACTGCCCCAGTGTTTGCTTACAGGCTTACACGTTCTAATGAGACCACTGAAAAAGGTGGATCAGGGCAAGCGGATTCCGAATGGTAGGCTAAGAACTATTATTAGCCACAACTTTTTTTTTTTATGTTCAGTGGACGGGCAGTCTCACCAGACTACGCTGAATGGTGGGGCAGAACGCCCTATTTAGCAT